GGTAAGTTTAGTCTCAACATGAAGACTCACCAATAAGAACGATCCTTACTTTGTCTGCTGTTGAGTTCTGGCTTAATTTATCTGGTTAACTGTGAATTCCTGCACTTTGGAATATGAAACAGTCATATTTACACATTTGAACACTTCATTATACCAATAAACTGAATATTTAAATGAGGCGTGTTCATTAATATTTAGCTGGTTTGCCCTGTCGTGTGTTCATTTGTACTAACTGTGTCTGGAACGTCTTTATAAACTCCTTTATCTCCAGAATGTTTGTCAATGTTTGTTTTTCATTTTTATTACTGTGTGTTTGTGTTTATGTTATGTTTATGAACCTTTTTTAATATAAGCTATTTTATAGGGCCTTTTAACTCAGTTCTGTTGACACTGTTCTCACATACACACCTCTCTTTTCGTTTCCTTTCTCTTCTCCAGTTCTCTCTTCTGCACAGTCCCATGGGGCCCTCTAGAGGAGAGGAGGAGTAATGTCTGAGTCCATCTCCATTAATATGAGTCCACAAACACAACCACCCCTTTACTCAGGAAGCATTACTACCTCATACGAACTTAACATCTCTGAGGCACATTAAACTTTTTTTTTTTAACACAACATTACATGGCAACAATGTTCTGTACTCACAATGTTTCACTTGGATGTTCATATATATTGACAACCGTAACCAATGCTAATATGAGCTGGAACAGTATCTTTCAGGAATCAGCCAGGAAAAGGTTGTGCAGTCATACTTCAATCAAACATTTACAGTGCTGGTACTAAGTTAGACCTTTACCAGTGTAATAAGGGTTGCTGTCAGTGCTGATCAAGATGGCGGTGCGTGCACACACTGCGGCCTCTCTCTCCCCCGGCGAAATGGTGTTTTTTTTTTTTTTTAATTTTTACCCGATTTTCTCCCCAATTTAGTCGTCTCCAATTCCACCCGCTAGTTAGGACTCCCCCAATCACACGATGCTATCAACGCTAGGAGGGTGAAGGCTAACACAGGCTTCCTCCGAGACCTGTGAAGCCAACCACCGCTTCTTTTCGAGCTGCTGCTCACGCAACGTCACTGGACAGCCGAACGCGCTCGGAGGAAAGCGCCAACCGCCAGATCTGCTACGTCAGCTAACAGACGCCTGCGCTGACTAGCATCGCGCTGAGTGATGGGGGGAGAAGGAGCGGCCATCCCACCCACCCAGAGAGAGCGAGGCCAATTGTGCTCTCTCGGACTCCCGGCTACGGACGGCTGTAGCATCACCAGGGATCGAACTCGCGATCTCCTGATGAGGGACAACGCTTAGACGGTTGCGCCACTCGGGAGCTCGAAATGGTGTCTTTGTGTTTTTTGTCCTGCGAGTCGCAGGGTTTTTGTACGTCTTCGTCTCGTTTACCTGTCTTGAAGCGCACATACAGCCGTAAGTTCCTGCTCGACATTGGCAGAACCTCATTTTTAGAGTTAAACTCTCAGCGCAAAGAAGAGCTAAGAGTCTGCGGTTTGCTTAGGAGTCCGGCACCAACACCGCCCCCACTCCTGCATCTCGCCCAGAGCGGAAGCGCCACAAGCGGCATGAGCGGAAGCAGAAGAGGGGTAAACGTGGAGGTATCCGAGCTAGGCTAACGGCTAGCCCACACAAGCCGGCCATCCCCACCATGGTACTGGCCAACGTATGCTCACTGGACAACAAACTGGACTACATACGCCTGCTACGCACAACCCAGAAGTCTGTGAGAGACTGTTGTGTGTTTGTGTTCAGTAACAACGTCTCGGACAAGCCATTCACCTCCCCCACCTCGGCGCCTCTGACCACATCACTATTATGCTAATGCCAGCATACAAACCACTGGTTAAAGTCACCAAACCAGTTCAGAAGCAGGTACGAGTGTGGCCGGAAGGGTCTTCAGAGACACTTCAAGACTGTTTTAACACCACAGACTGGAATGTGTTTAAACAAGCGGCGACCTACAACAACACCACGGATCTCCAGGAGTATGCTGACTCAGTCACTGGCTACATCTCCAAGTGCAATGAGGATGTAACTGCTCTCAAGATCATCACGGTTCGGGCCAATCAGAAGCCATGGCTGACAGGGGAGGTCTACAGGCTACTGAAGGCTAGGAATGCTACCTTCTCAGCATAGATGAGGTGGGCCTGCTAGGACCAACCTGTCCCGTGGCATCAGAAAGGCAAAGAGGCAGTACTCCAGGAGGATAGCCCAATGCTTCAGCGACAGCAGAGATACACGGAGCCTGTGGCAGGGGATACAGAGCATCACAGACTACAAGCCCCCACCGCAGATCTGTGACAGCTCCACCTCTCTGCTGAATGAGCTTAACAACTTCTTCGCCCGGTTTGAGACAGACAACAACATGCCTGCACAGAAGATCCCACCCCCTCCTGGAGATCAGGTGCTGACGCTGTGCCCAGTCAGTGTGAGGAGATCATTCAGCAGGATCAACGTTCAGAAAGCTCCAGGTCCTGACGACATACCCGG